AGCATTCAGGAATCATCAGGAATGATATGAGCTAATGGTATACAGATACCATTAGTTGCTTACCTCTTTGCTAAGCTTATGGCCGCCATCCTACAGTCACTTATTAGACAATAAGCTATACCATATAATGAGTAGACATGGAAGACTGAACTGGAAATTTAATAAGAATTGGATACATTTACCTGGATAGCTGCCAGATTCTTTTGTTCTTGAGATGGTGCTTCATGTACAAAACGCAACCAATTAGAATGCCTTGGATTGCTAGCATCCAGAACATAAAGCACTTCACCTTTATTTCCACGAACCTGAAAAGGCAATAAAATTTGAGCAAAGCTAAAGCTTTGAAAAACTTAAAAGATATAAACGTAACTCTACAAAAATAAAGATCTCAAGTTCTCATTTTATTATTCTCTAATAGAAGTAAATCTTTGGCTGGATTCATGTATCATGTGAAAATTTGATTTATTAAATAAGTCAAAATAATTGAGTTCAAATATCACACTAAACCATAAACAATGTTTAACAAACCACAAAGCTGAATGTACACAACAGGCGGGCCCAAAATCCAAAGTAGGGATTAAAGACTGTCAGAGCTAGATTTACTACAGAGAATGACAGTGGGCTGCTCTGTTCCTAATAAAATGAGTAAAATTTGCAGGAGTGGCAATTTGCCCAACTGCAAATATAAGTTGAGAAAAGGTAAACACATCTGGGCTCCTATTAGCACTTACACCTCCTCATATTCCCCTTCATTTGCCTTTCAAAACCAACATCTTATTGTTCTTCACAGTATGTGGCTACCTAATTTTTCCAGCTGCTGCTTTAAAATTTATACCTTTTATGATTTTATATTACAAAGTAAAAAAATGAGCCTCTTTTAAAGGCCTCTAAAGAGGAAAAATTATGCTTTAATAATATTAAATGGTATGCTTTATTAATACATTAGATTTTATATATTTTCATTTGGGTCTTCTACCTTACATTTTCTTGGGAAAGTTAAGAATCAGGTATGATATGGCAATGAAATATATTGCAAATGAACTTAAATTCTGAAATATCATTCCTCAGCATGATATTCAAATTACTCAGGAAAAAGGAGAATTTAATCCACTAAAGCTACATTTTCAAATATATTGCATTCTTACAAATGGGAATGAGCAAACATTAGGAAAATGTTAGTATTTTGCATGTGTAGATTAAATACATTCTATGAACTCATGTGCAAAGGGTTACGTGAACAGTGTAATGTTCAAGAAATAGCTCTGTAATGTAAGAGGGGAACACTGAGGAAATCATTGGCTGAATAGACATAACCTGCTAAACCATGATTTGCTTAATCACACTTTAATTCTATTTTATTAATATTTTTTAATTGAAACTCTTAAAAGTCTGGTGGGACCAAAATTATCAATAATTGTCATTGTGGGTAGATATTTAATTCTCAGGTGATAGGTAAAATAAATTAACTTTCTGATTTCCATCTTTAGGTTACTAGATAGGTGCTCAAAAAATCCAAATGATTTCTAAATGGCAGCAAAGTGGTACAGCATATGCTAACTCCTTCCTGCCATTCTAGTGATCATGCAGATTTTTGTACTCCAGATCCAGTTGCCCTACCCAACTTGGAATTTAGTACACTTCAAATGTTTTCAACTTTAACACTATCAGCGAAAATGGTCATAATGTTGGGATTGTGGAATAGTAGATGTGATAATGCTATTTCAATAATGTCCAAACTAAATAGCCTAAAGTAATCCTTTTTTAAGGGTGGGGGAAGAAAAAGAGCCAACTCTTGAAGTTTGGCAAGAGTTAAACTTACTAATCTTTTTATAAAGAATTTGTTCACTAAAGAGGTAACTATAGAAATGCAACTCACCGGACCAATATAGAACTTTTAGATACATTTGACTTTGGACAGACAAATAAAGCCAGTGTTAATTCCAACATGAATATGGATGAAATTAAAACTATCACATCTCAAAAAGACTGACATTTCCACAACAGCATAGGTTATCCTGTGTTTTCAACATGAAAGATCTGAAAGCCTGAAGGGACTGCTTGAGTACACAAAATTGAACATTATACTAAGCAGACAAGTAATGAAATCATTGACATTGGAACCTTATTCTGGAAAACATTATGACCACAATCCAGTTGCTTAAAACACCACGAACGTAGAAGAAAGTAGGATATCTTTTTTAGTTTTCTTGATAGCTCATTAATATTCTATTTATGATGTACTCTGAAGCAAAAACTATACGAAATCATTACCATTTTTGTTTACAACCTCACAAAACTAGGATTCATATGCATTTTATGTTATTATTGTTATATATAAATTGCATGACTATCATTTTTTAAATGCAAATCAATCTGATTTATTCTTTGACTTATAAGTTCTCCTATATATAGATTTGTCTTTTCACTTCTCAAATATTAGCAACCACTCTAATAAATGTAATATTACTCTTGTTTGCATAATATTCTCATTAGCATAGTTTTTCCACATGTTTCTTATTCAGTTTTTTGGATGAAAACAAAAGAAAAATCTTGCTGTTGCTATAAAATCAAAGTCACTTTCAATAGAAGAAGTGCTGAAACTCAAGTTCAGCTGTGTTAATAGGAAGTAAGGATAATATAATACAAAAATAACTTTAAAAGTATTAAGTTAGACTGCTGCTATTTTGTTCCACATGTAATTTCAATCTCTGCTTTGCAATCAGGCTATCTTTAAAAAAAAAAAGCTCTTCTAGTTGATTTGTTGCACTTTCTCATTTCAAATATTTGAATTGTTTTCCTCAAGACTGCCTTCAGTATGTCAACTGTTAAATTTTTAAAGCCCACTGGCATACATAAGACATTAATGACCAGGTTTAAAATTCTTCTGAAGAAGTTACATTTATCAAACAATATAAACATGATCTTTGAAGTTTTTTGTTTCAAAATAACAAGGGTCAAAATAACACATGGTCTCCTGCTTGAGCAGGGGGTTGGATTAGATGAGCTACAAGGTTCCTTCCATCTCTGTTATTCTGTATGAATTGCAGTGGTGGAAAAGAACTGTAAAGATCTTTAAGAGCATGTTTCCCAACATGGTTCAGGTAACTTGATTATTCTCCTCCTTGTGACTGTAAAATGAAATCATATTTTAATTTGACTAAAGATATTACACAGTGGAATATATTTTGTTGTACTACTTGACACAGGAATATGAATTGAAGTCAAATACTTTGCAGCCAGTCAGGAAAAATGTCAGCACAACAATGAGGCTAAACAGATGGCTTTCTCTCCTGTAAACACATTGCTTTCAATTTTGAATACCATTTATTGCATAGTTATTAAATAAGAACTGCAAGAAACCATATAAACAGCAAGGAAAAAATATTCCGTGACTAGACTATAATTTAATTTTGAAGCATAACATATGAAGCCTTGTACTACTCAACATTAGTTTTGCGTAGCTCTTGAAACCAATGGGATAGAAAATTGTATTCACTTAAACAAACTTTAGACAGAAAAAATGATTTAAGGCTCAGGAACCCACATGAAGGTAAACTATTAAAAGGTCTTTATTTTGCTGACATCCTAGTAATAAAATTCACTGCAGGTTCCATATATTTATGAAGGAGCTTTTCCATGAACCATGACCAAGCTTAACACTATAAGAGGGATGCAACTTACTTAGTTACTGTGATTTCTGTTATTATTATCTCCCAAACATATAATCAACATTAAATATTAAGAGCCTTATCTTGGATTAATCTATCTGGGAGTAAATTTTTCCATGAAAACACAATTCTTATACGGTATTGAACTTCAGATCTGATATCTGGAAGATGGTGGTGGTGGGGAGTATGAACATAGCACCTAAGAACAGCTGCACCTGAAACTAGTTGTCACTCCAAAGAATCCTAAATAGGCATGTTTAAATTCAGCATAAAACATCCTATTCTAGTTGTATAAAGTAATAGGAAGCTAACCTGAATCTTCTGCTAGAACAAAATAATAGTCTTGAAAGTTCATACATTCATGTCAAAGAAATTTGCCACTGAACAGTTTCCATGTGTATAGTCAAACCCCCAAATTAATGCTTCTTCCTATGAGCTGAATCTCATTGTTGTACTTCTGACTATTATTGGATGCTTTGAGTCCCACTGGCATTCAATCAGAAAATGCAAATTAGGTCATATGAATCTGCTAAAGACATTAATTGGAATGGTAAAGAAACAGAAGTCTTATAATTCACAAATAGTAAACATGATTAAATATGTCTATTACAAAACAACATGCGTACAAGAAATTCATACATTTGAATACCAACATTTAAAAGAGTCTGAAAATTCAGGATGTTGAATTTGAACAAGATTTTTGTTTTAACCACAGTTACCTACATATAAAAGTTCTTGAGGTAGAATAACATAAACATAAAAATATTAAAAGACGGTTATTAAAGCAAAATCTATTGCCAGAAGACTAACCCACGGACTTGCACAAATATCCATTACTATGCTGATGAATACCTTTACTGATATTACAAGAATATTTTCCATTATGGCTTTTCAAAGATTACAACCATAACCTCTTTGTCACAGGAAAAATAACAAGACCCCCTACTTTTTAAAAGAGGCAATAATTGTTAGGCTGGCACTTGAAAAAAATTGTACTTTGTCTATATTTATATAGTTATTTTACAACTATAAAATGCCATGGGAAATATGAAAACCTCAGAATACTTTCTCAAAAGGTTCAACTCAAGTTTTTAAAATATGGAGCTCACAATTTTGTGAAAAATACCACGGGGCATCCCATTCTATGAATGTTATTAAGGCCCAATTCATGTATCATAAACTGACAAAGTGTTCTTATACTAAAGCTGGTTTCCACAAAATCTATTAAACATGATAATAATAGTTAGTTGGCTATCTAATTCCTAATTGATGTGACATAAATCAAACCGTAAGTGCTTACAATCAAGTAGCAACTTTAAGAAATATGGCAAATATTGGCAAATTATCATGATGTAATAACCTTTTCAGAAACTGAAAATCATAATTCAGCCAGTTTGGTCTATTGGTTAAGGCACTAGGCTAGAAAGCATGAGACCCTGAGTTCAACTCTCACCTTAGCCATGAAAGCCAGCTGGGTGAATTTGAGCCAGTCACTCTCTCTCAACCCAATTCACTCATAGAGTAGTTATTGTGGGGTAAATAGGAAGAGGAAGGTGTGTTGGATATGTTCACTGCCTTGAGTTATTTGTAAAAATAATAAGGGTGGGATAAAAATAAATAAGTTTGCAGTGTTCTGA